GATCGCGCCATTGCACTCCAGCCTGGGTAACAAGAGCGAAACTCCGTCTCAAAAATAAAAAAAAAAAAAAAATTAAAAAACAAAAAACAATCACTGCAGAGATCGACTGAGTTAATCAGAAAACCCCTGGGAGTTGGAGACAGAAAGACCTAAATGGTGTGAGATCCCACCACATTTGTGGATCAGATGATAGCACTGTAAATATGGTATTTCCTCCATCTACAAATCCGATTAGAAAAAAATGTCCGGCAGAATTTTATGTAGAAAATAAGGCAGTTTTAGAGAAAAAAAGAGGAAAGGTCTTTTCCTACCAGCTGTTAAGACCTATTACAAGACTATTAATCAAAACAGTGTGATAGTGACATAGAAGCAGAAGCCTCGAAAAGAATGAACAGAACACATTTTTATACCCATCGATTTTCCCAGTGTCATAAGCAGAACAAACTGGCAAGATCCACATGTGAAAGGTAAAAGGTTAAAGGTAAATAAAGAAAATGTAGATGCATCTTTGCACTCTCAGAATGCTGAAGGATATCTTAAGTCTCTCCCAAACAGCAATAAAGTGGAAAAAGAACCCAATGGATTTAACATTAATCAGAATGAAAACTGTATTCAATATAAAATCACAGATATAATTTAAAAGATGATAAAAGATATTTTCAGTGGCTAAATCAACAAGAGATTACTAGGTAGCATATGTACAGAACTCCAGTAAATCAGCAAGAAAAGACAGAAATCCAAATGGAATATTATGTGTAATATTCCACTATACACAATATTCCACTATATTAAACAATAGTTAAGAGCCTATGATTCAATGTCATTAGTAACTAATATGCACAATCAGGATTTTTTTCCATAAAGAGGTCCTGAAGAAATGTCTCATTTATTTTCCTAAATAATTTTACTTCTTTTCCAGATTGAGAAGTTCCTCTTGTTATCTAATTTAAATTTTTCCTGATAAAAATTCTTAAGATTGATTATGATGAAACTATTTGGTCATCTACATACACTACACAGGCACAACAGAAGACCTTCACCAAACTGCTGTACGACATTATTCCAAGCCTCAACACGTTCTTGAGCCACACCATTTTCTGGAAGACAACGAGCTTGTTAGCAGAAGTTCAAAGGAAGGTAGCATCAAACATGTCCTCTGCCATTGCTGTGGGGACAGAGCGCTCCACCTTGTGCGACTCCAACACACAGGCCTTCCAGCACTTCCAGAGCCATCTGACCTGCACTAGGACATGCTGTCCTCAACCGAACCTATTTTCCATGCCCATCATTTAAAAAATCTTATTTCTGGGACCAGGCGCAGTGGGTCACATCTGTAATTCCAGCACTTTCAGAGGCCAAGGTGGGTGGATCATGAGGTCAGGAGTTCAAGACCAGCCTGGCCAACATGGTGAAATCCCATCTCTACTAAAGATACAAAAAATTAGCCAGGCATGGTGGTACGTAGCCATAGTCCCAGCTACTAGGGAGGCTGAGGCAGGAGAATCACTTGAACCCAGGAAGTGGAGGATGAAGTGAACTGAGATCGTGACACTGCACTACAGCTTGGGCACAGTGAGCTTCCTCTCAAAAAAAAAAATCATATTCCTTACTTTTCAGTTTAAAAATAATTTCAGATTTACAAAAGGCTGTAAAAACAGTATGAAAAATTCTCAGCAAAGGACTAGTATCCAGAATCTATGTGGAACTCAAACAAACCAGAAAGAAAAAAAAAAACAATCCCATCAAAAAGACAGCAAATGAGGCAAACAGACATTTCTCAAAAAAAGATAAACCGATGGCCAAAAAACATGAAAAAATGCACAACGTCAGTCATGAGGGAAATGAGATACCACCTTATTCCTGCAAGAATGCCCATTACTAAAAAGTCAAAAAACAACAGATGTTGCTGTTGATGTGGTGAAAGGCAAACGCTTATACACTGCTGGTAGGAATGTAAATTAGTACAATCTCTATGGAAAACAGTATGAAGATTCCTTGAAGAACTACAAGTAGATCTATCCCTCGATCCAGCAATCCCACAACTGGGTGTCTACCCAAAGGAAAAGAAGTCATTATATGAAAAAGACACATACACACAAACTGCAGCCCAATTCACAATTGCAAAGATCTGGAACCAACCGAAGTGCCCATGAATCAATGAGTGGATAAAGACGATGTGGTGTATATACACCATGGAATACTACTCAGCCACAAAAATGAATGAAAAATGTCTTTTGCAGCAACGTGGATGAGGCTGGAGGTCATTATTCTAAGCGAAGTAACTCATGTCGTATGTTCTCACTTATAGTGGAAGCTAAGCTATGGGTATGCGAAGGCATACACAGTGGTATAATGGACATTAGAGACTCAGAAGTGGGAGGGTGGAAGGGGCGTGGGATTTTAAAAAAAGCTGCACGTTTAGGTACAAGGTATATTATTCCGGTGATAGGTGCACTAAAATCTCAGAATTCACCACTATGTAATTCATCCATGTAACCAAAAACCACTTGTACTACAAAAGCTACTGAAATAAAAATAAATAAAGAAGAAGAAACATACACAAAAAGCAAGCAAACAAACAAAAACAAAAACAGGCCAGGCATGGTGGCTCATGCCTGTAATCCCACTACTTTGGGAAGCTGAGGCGGGTGGATTACCTGAGGTCAGGAGTTTGAGACCAGGCTGGCCAACGTGGCGAAACCCCGTCTCTACTAAAAATACAAAAATTATCTGAGTGTGGTGGCACACACCTGTAATTCCAGCTACTTGGGAGGCTGAGGCATGAGAATCACTTGAACCTGGAAGGCAGAGGTTGCAGTGAGCCGAGATTGTGCCACTGTACTCCAGCCTAGGCAACAGAGTGAGACTGTCTAAAAAAATAAAATACAAATTGAAATTTCAACATGAGCTTTGAAGGCGACAAACATTCAAACCATAGCCTAGCCACACTGAGCTACCAAATGGACCTCTGGTGCCTGTCACCACAGTAATATATGTGAGTAGTGGATAAGAAACAAAGTATGAAAAGTACTTAGACTGATGCTGTGAAAACGTCTTCCAGACAACAAATGTAACTGAAGGATCCGTCTCATTGATGCCTAATCTAGATGGAAGTTCTCCCCATCACGGACATACATGATGTACTGGGTTGAAGAGTGGCACCTCAAAAGTCATGTTCACCTGAAACCTCAGAATGTTGGCCTTATTTGGAAATAGGGTCTTTGCAGATGTAGTTAAGATGAGGTCATACTGGTTTAAAGTTGGCCCTACATCCAATGGATGGTATCCTTACAAGAAGCGGAGAGGGAGGGCACAATCACATGTAGAGAAGAAGGTCGTGTGACATCAGAGGCAGAGACTGGAGTGAAGCTGCCACAAGCCAGGCAATGCCAGGAAGCACCAGGGAAAGGAAAGGAAGGCTTCGCCCGCAGAACCCTGCCAGCAGTGCCACTTTGGACTTCTGGCCTCCAGGACAGTGAGAGAATACATTTCTTCTGTTTTAAGCCACCCAGTTTGTACTAATTTGTTGCAGCAGCGCCGGGAATCTAATATACTTAAATACAGCATTTACAATTAAGTTCATAACACACTTCTTTTCTTTTATTAATTAGAAGAAATGGAATTGATTTACATGCCTTTATTTATAGGCACAAACCTGTAGCAATACTATACACAGTAAGAATGTGTGTGAAGTTGCATGTGTGTGTATCCCACCTATTACAAGGAAAGAATTTCAGTCAGCTATGATGGAGGTAAAGCTGACTTATTTCTATCGAAAATGTCATTACAGAATGACTGTCACATGAAAATATATGAAAGCGTGACCAGCAATCAAAAGAGACAGAAAAAGTATTATAGAGATATTTCAGGAAGTGAATTAATATAAAATATTATGCTATTTTTACGGATTTTTGTTTGGGGTATGTTTCACCTTTTTTGAAATTCCTAATTTGTTGCAAGTTTTGGTCTCATTCTAAATAAATATTCACACTTTTAAAAAGAAAAGAATTATCCTATGTTCTTAACCCCAAATGTTAACCTTTTATATAACCCTAGTACAAAAATCAAAACCACAAAATTAATGTTGATAGCATCTATCAGTTAGCCTGCATGCCTTCTGCAGACATGATTCTCTGTCCCACTGCTATCTTTTTTTCTGGACTAGGATCTGGTCCAGGATCACAAATTGCACTTGCAGCTGCCATGTTCCTTCAGTCTCCTATAACCTGGAAGTTGTTCTAGGTCTCCGTTTGCTTCTGTTGACTTGACACTTTTGAAGAGTACTAGCCAGGAACTGTGTGGCAATCTTTCACTTGGGCTGGACAGAGGTTTCCTCATGACGAAATTTAGATACGCATTTTGGTAAGAATGCCACAGAAGTGACACTGCACCTTTCAGCAGGAGGCACGAGGCTGGACTGCGCGTTACTGCTGAGCTAACTGGGATTACGTGGTTCAGGTGCTGCTTGCCAAGTGCTCCCAGGTACAGTTGAAATAACTGTGAAGTTACCATTTTCTCTCTGCCGGGTACTTGCATCTATGAAGAAACTGTGAGACTACCTCAATATTCTGTGTCTGGACATAATTTTTCTCATTCCTAATTTCAGCAATGATGATAATTACTGTGATGTTTGCCAAAGGTGATTTTCTGTCTCCTGTCTATTATCTCTCTGAGTTATAGTCATTCTACTATAAGGGATTTTTATTTTCCATCACTGAGTTACTCAAATTTATTTTTATCAATCTGAATCAACAGATATTTCTTTTGTTCTCCCATTTTTACTTATTATTCTACTTACCATTACTATCTTTAGTTTCTTACTCTAATGATCCCCTATCATTTTTAAGCTTCAACACGTACATACCCTCAATACATACACACTTTTCTGTATAATTATAAATTAAGATAAATGATTTCTGTAACATAAAAAATTATACTATTGACCTCAATAGATTCAGAAACTCTAATAAGCCAAAAGATGAATGACCACATCAGCTTACCCAAAGTCAATGGTGGCGGTTTGGGATCAAGAACATATTCTTTTTCTGAATCTTCTGGTTTGGGGCACTGCGTCGTTTTTTTAAGTCCAGTATCTATTACTGCCTTTGCGTCTCTTTTTAGAGATTTGTTCTCTTTCTTTTGTACTTGTATCTTAGAATGATCTGCAACTGAAAGATTTCGAAGTTGAAGATCATGTAAAATGTGATCTTGTAAAGCAACTGCATTGATTGCCAAGTTATTTTTCTTAGATGAGTGACCCTAAAAAGTAAGAAATAAGTCATATTTAGAGGAATATTATGTAATATATCATTTAGAAGGTATTACAAGGTTTCAATACTCAACCTCGATGGCGTATATGACCAAATCAAATAGCAAGGAATGCTTGACTCATCATTATGTAAGTGGTAGCAGACCCTTGTCTCAGCATTTATGTTACCAATACAGGAATATCTTTTCACTTAATTACTAAAGCCTTAATTATAACATGCATAAATTCATTATGACCTATAAACCTGTGCATGCCTAAACAAGCCCATGCTGCTTCACTATAATTAAGTTAGACTCCAGGCAACTACTAAGGAGACTCTTGCATTTCAGCTTATGCCTTTTTGTGAGGACTGAGTAACTTCCTATGCAGAATAAAAAATCTGAGATGCTGGCAGAAAATGTCACCAGAGACTGTTTTTCCCACCAGCCTGTCCACTGCCCCATGCCACACTTGGCACTGCCCATTCCTGCTAATAATTCCTAATTCAAGCAGGGTTTGCAAACTATTTTTTATACTCTCAAACAGCCAAATTAAAATATATTTCATGAGTCAAATAATGTGTATGTTTAAGAAAAAATAGGGTACCTTATGTTTTAACATGCTGAATCAGAAGTTGTTGCCTGGCTATCACAAATTCTATCATCACATCATTATCATATTCCTTCTATTCTTCTGCTGAAAAACATTGTCAACAGAAAGTCAGAGTTACAGTGCACATCAAAACCTTTTATGAAGTCTGTGAGAACGATCTGTAGAACAGTCTAACTGATAATGCAGCAGTGGGAATGCCTGCTACAGGGTGGCACTAAGCCACACATTCTGGTTCTGTAGGAAGGGGGTGAACTCTGATCAGTTACACTTTGACTCATCCCTGTCCTCAAATAGTTCACTCCTGAGCTGTTGAGAACACATTAATACAAGGGGTTACTATTAATCAATCCATTAATATATGACACATAAGTACTGTAAAATTTCAGGCTAGCACTCGAAACTTGTAAAGGAAAAACATCCCAAAGAGCTAACAGTTAAAGTGGCATTTGAAAGCTACACAGAGGGAAATGAACATGTCACACTACAGGTAGGAGGGAAGCACTGGCAGGCTGGAAATCAGCATGATATGCTTATTTTGGGGAGACAGGGAACAATGAAGAAACTGGAACGCAAGAGGAACACTGGCTAACTTCAGTCTGTCCAGAACACAGACATACAGAATATGTGGACAGACCGACATGAGTTCCAGTCGAACACGACCACTTTGCTGCCCAAGATACCTACCACGACTGAGCCCCAGGCCCCTCATCTATCCACCAAGTGCAATTGTGCTGGCTTTGCAGTGTTGCCGTGAGGATTAATGAGATGACCTTTGAAGTATCTAAAACAGGTCTTTTCACACAGAACAGAGTCTTGTTATTCTTGCTTCAATTCCCTTCAAAGCTGGTAGAATAATTTGGAATTGGTCCTTTTAGATTTTGGACATGGTGTATTTTATGAAGACAGATGTGTTCAAAATACACTGTAATGAGGAGAAAGTTATTCAAGTAATCTAGGAACTGGCATAGCAGGCCCTTGAATAACATCGTTTCTTCTAATGTTTCCTTACAACACTGATGAGAAAAAAAATTGGTCCCCAGCAGGGGCCACTGTCTGTGTGGAATTTGCACGTTCTCTCCACGTGCTGTGGGTTTTCTCCAGGTATCCCGGGTTCCTCCCACATCCCAAAGCCATGCATGTGAGGCTCACTGGCCTGTCCCTGTTGAGTGAGTGAGCGTGCCCTGCCATGGGATGTCTTCCTCTCCAGGGCTGCTGTCAGCCTTGGTCCTGAGCTGCCCGGATGGGTTTGGCTCCCTGCCACCCTGAACTGGAATAAACAGGTTGGAAAATGAATGGAAGGATACAAATTATTGTCAAATAAAAATGTGTAAAGCATATGGTAATCACACAGATGCAGGACAACACCCGGTGCAGTAGGAAGCACAGTCAACTGAGATTTGGTTTCTTTCGAAACTGCATGGTGGGAGGAGGCGCTTCAGAGCTTTGGCCTGGCCAATATTATCCTTGACTTAAGGCAGCACCTCCAAGACCCTGTCACTCACCAATTCACCAGACATTGGATAATGACCTTACTTCCTTCAGTGTATGTAGAGCTCACATGTATTTCAGTGTTTCATACAGAAATGCTTTGGTTGTTATTTAGAAGTTTGGTGATGTTTTTGTGACCAGGAATGTGCTGTAGGAACTTACCTCTTCTTTATATCAATTAGCCTATGATGAAACTGGTTTCCTTATACACTGCATGGCTTAAAGCCCCAGTTTCCAAGAACCTACGGATGATGTTAAGTGACGACTTACTGTATTGAGGGCCTAACTGTAAAAATAGAAATTAATCCAAACTATATTTCTAAGGACTAACACTTGTATTAAATGACTCCAACTGAAAGAACAAACTCACTAAGGTGTAAAAGCACAGCCAAATCTCTGACATATCCAGGGTTAGAAGTGAAAACGTCAGGTGCCGCTCACCTCCTACAGAGGCTTTGGTGATGGTTCTTACTGAGACCCTTTCCTGTTCCCCATCAATTCTGGCATCAAGAGATGTTTGAAAGAAGTTTCACCCCTATCTCATCCAGACAACCGAACTTGGAGAAGTGGTGGAAAGAATTTAAAATACTGAAAGCTCACTGCCAGATTTTTCTAAGTTCCTGCTTCCAAAACGCCTATAACCTGGCAGAAGATTCAGTTTGCACATACGATCCAGTCATATCTGCAGTCTGCAATTTAATCTCAAGTTTGTACACGGTAGGCCACTGTCATTAATGTCAAGGTAAGAGCTTTTAAAACCTGTACTCTTTTAAAGTCCTATGGTATTATTATGTTTCAGAATTTAAAATTCAGATTTTAAAGATACTGAAAAGACTTCAAGTCTCTAGTCCAACTCCAGTTTATACATGAGAAAAGCGAATACCAGGGGAGTCAATACCCAATGAGCCTGTGGCACCGGTAGGGTCAGACACGCAACCCTCGCCCAGCGTTGAAAGCTAAGATGACCAGGAACACGTGGCTTTGTCAATCCCAGTATCAGACGCTCAGGCGGCAGAGCCTGGTGGCAGAAACGACCCCCGGGGTGCCAAAGCAGGTGACCCCAGCTTATTAAAACAGCCGAGACCCAAGCCCGAGGCGTGAAGATGCCCGTCCACACAGGGTCCTGGCGGTCTCCCGCCTCGTGAACGCCGCGGGCCTTGTCCTGGGCGCGGGTGAGGGGCCCCCGTTCCCTTGGGGGCGGACGCCACCCCGCACCTGGGTCCCCGACGGCGGCGGGTCCCCCTGGGGTCTAAGATGACCGCCGTGAGATCACCGCTCCGAGGCGCGAGGCCGCCGTAAATTCGCGCCCCTCAGGTAGGAGGAGCCGTGGGAACCCGCCGGGACCCCGAGAGGCCGCGCGCTGCGGTGGGACCCGGCCTCGCCTCACAGCCCCGGCCCACGCCGGCCCGGCTCGGAGGAGGCGAAAGCGGGGCTGCGAGCGGCCCGCACCCCGAATCCACGCACCCCGCCCGCCTCGCGGGCCGCCCTCCTTTCCGCCCCCGCCTCCAAGCCTCCGCCTGCCTCGACTCTGCTGGGAACACGGGAACCCAGGGCCGTCCGCCCCAGCTCCCTCTGGCAACCCCGCGGCCGCTCGCCGTCGCCATAGCAACGCCCGCCTCTGCGCTCGCTCCCCGCGCGCTTGCTCGCCAGCCCCGCTCGGCCCCGTACTGCGCATGCTCGCCAGCCGCCCGGCCCACACTGCGCATGCTCGCCAGCCCCGCCCGGCCTACAGTGCGCAGGCTCACCCGCCGCGCCCCGCCCCGCCGCGCCCCGCCCCGCCCACGGCGTCAGCGTGCGGACGCAGGTGCGTGCCCTCCCAGGCTTGCGCCGCGGGCGTCTCTGGGGATCGGGTGGCGGCGCGTCCGAGAGCCGCTGGCTGGCGCGCAGGGGTGTGCGGGCGCCCGGGTCTCGTGGGGTGCGGGCCAGGCCCCGCGCCTGCCTAGCTGTAGTTCGCAGCCCCCGGCGGCCCTGTGGGCGCGACCCCGCTCCTCAGCCGCACGTCCACCTGGGCCTGCGCCCGGGTTGTTTCCCCGCGTGACCGTGGTCGTGCTCGCTCCAGGGTCTGGAGCGCACGGCCCCTTTGCGGGGCCGTCAGTCGAGGGCAGTTTTCCGGGGATCCCCGGACTCCCCCGCGCCGTTCAGGCGTCCTGGCTCGCAGAAGGGCGGCCCGCACCCCCTTGGGCGTAGTCGGGGACTCCCGGCCCCGCTCCGTGGTTCCCTTTGCGTTTCCTGCTTCGGGGGCCCGGCCGTCTGCGTTTGGTTGCGGGCGCGCGTGAGCCCCGCGTGGGCCGCTGGCTTCTTCCCGCTCCGAGGTGACAGACCGCATGTGTGACACCTCGGAGTGGCCGGGGGCAGCGCGGCCCTTCCCGGGCCTGCAGCGGGCGGTGGCGATGCCGCTCCTGCCCCGAATGCTGGGCTGCTGCTCCCCGGGGCTGCCTCGGGCTCGTCCCCGCTCGGGTGAGCTCGGGCTGTTCCTCCCCGTCCGCGTGGCTCACCCCGGCCTCGGGTGTCTCCTCGCTGCACCTGCTCGGGAAGGCGGCTCCCGAGCGCCAGCTCTCCGCCGAAGGGCGTCCCTCGGATTGCGGGTTGGCCCCGGGACCCCTCACTCCGTCCTCTGCCGTTCCTCTGTTGGCCTCCATCTGGGTTGTGGCCTGGAAACTCCCGGCCCGCTGCTTCCCTTCTCCTAAGGCTCACAGCCCTGCACTCCCTGCGTCCAGTGCCTGGAAACCTGTATTTTTTGGTCTGATTTTTGTAGTTGTTTAAGAACTTAAGTCTGGTCCCTCACATCTTCATGGCCAGAAGCAGAAATCAGTAGAAGTTTGTTTTTTCTTAAAGTGACATGAGTTTATTGTGTTGGTTCAACTTACGCTGAACTTTAATTAGAAGAAATTTGGCTGAAAGTACAAAGAAAATATACAAATGCAAGTAATCTTTTTTTAAAAAAAAGACAAAAAAAAAAAAAAAAAAACAACTTCCCTGAAAGCAAGGTCTAAAGAAATTACCAACCAACTTAGACTGGAAATTGATCATTAATCATTAAGGACATTAAAAAACAAATTTGGAATAAATGACACATCTATGAAACAGGATAATTTTAAACTCCACTTAAGATTCTATTTTTGGCCGTGCGCGGTGGCTCAAGCCTGTAATCCCAGCACTTTGGGAGGCCGAAGCGGGTGGATCACGAGGTCGAGAGATCGAGACCATCCTGGTCAACATGGTGAAACCCCGTCTCTACTAAAAATACAAAAAATTAGCTGGGCATGGCGGCGCGTGCCTGTAATCCCAGCTACTCAGGAGGCTGAGGCAGGAGAATTGCTTGAACCCAGGAGGCGGAGGTTGCTGTGAGCCGAGATCGCGTCATTGCACTCCAGCCTGGGTAACAAGGGTGAAACTCCGTCTAAAAAAAAAAAAAAAAAGATTCTATTTTTTCTTAGTGGAGATGAATTTTTCTAAACTGACCATTCCTGTTTTGAAGTCTGTAAAAACAGTCTATGAAAATTTATAATGATTTTTTTCCACATAATCAGATTTCTTCAATATTGTAACATTGATTTATATTCCACTTGGTGATGGATTTAGAAGAAAAGAAAGTGTCCTTTGCAGTCTTCGGGCTCCTCCGTTCTGCGACGTGGGTGCTAGGATAACAGCCATAAATGGTTGTAAGACTTTGGGCTCAGATAAGTAGACCTAAGTTGAAATTTTGACTTATTTTACAAGTGTCTGATTTCCGGCAAGCTCATCTTCCTAAACCATGAGCTCCCTATTTGTAAAGGGGACAGTAGCCACTCTCCAGCAACAGCCCTGGCATTTCTTCAGTCCTGGGATGGGACATATGACTAGTCTAAGTGAACCAGAAAATCCACACCCCTGACCAGAGCAACTTAATCAGGGCTGGCCTTATGTCTAGCCAGGCCAACCAGGTGGACTCAGTATTTTTATGGGAGCTACCGGAAAATTTCTCTAATTTGCCTGAGTGTAGAAATGAGAACAGTCATGAAGTGGTGGCTGTATTGTTGTCTTGCTTGTCGTCATGAGGTGAGAGCCCGAAGCTGTGGCAGCCACCCCGTGAACCGTGGAAGGAGGATTCTACAGGAATTAGCAGAGCTGAGACTGGGACGCAATCCATGTCCTGGTGACTTATTTGAGCCCTGAGCATGGCCCTCCTGTTAGTCTCTTCATTTACTGGCTTCAGCCAGGTGGGGTCTGGTTTTCTGTACTTTCACCAGGAAGAATTGGAATGATAACTAGGCATGCTATTACTGCTTTATGGCTGTGACGAGATTAAAACATGATATTGTCGGTGAACTGTTTAGTACAGTGCCTGCTATTCTTTACATTGGGTTTAAGGTATTTTTCGTGAACTTCATAAAGTTCTAAGAAAAATTACCATTTTAAAATTCCTACCCTCTGTTCACATGTTTGAATTTTCATGATAGTGTTTCTGTCTGCATGTTTTTTATTCAAAATAAATTGGTCGTTTTTCAGCCACACAGAATATTTTAAGTTTTTTATTTTTAAATTTATTTTTTATTTTTAAAATTTTTTTTCTTTTTTCTTTTTTTTTTTTTTTGAGACAGAGTTTCGTTTTTGTTACCCAGACTAGAGTGCAATGGCGCGATCTCGGCTCACCGCAACCTCCGCCTCCTGGGTTCAGGCAATTCTCCTGCCTCAGCCTCCTGAGTAGCTAGGATTACAGGCACGAGCCACCATGTCCAGCTAATTTTTTGTATTTTTAGTAGAGGTGGGGTTTCACCATGTTGACCAGGATGGTCTTGATCTCTTGACCTCGTGATCCACCCGCCTCGGCCTCCGAAAGTGCTGGGATTACAGGCTTGAGCCACCGCGCCCGGCTTAAATTTATTTTTTATTGATACATAGTAGATGAACATGTTTTTGGAGTACATGTCATAGTTTGATAAATTCATATAATCAAAACAGGGTAATTGGGATATTCATCTCCTTAAATATTTATCTCCTATTTACACTAGGAACATTCAAATTATTCTAGCTATGTTGAAATGTGCAATCGATTTGTGTTAACTATAGGCTTGACTGAAACTTGAACCTTGTTGCTTTCTAATTCTTGATAAAAACAGAGCTAACATAGTTGATATTTGAAGAATACATTCATTCATTCTTCAAGATAGTGTGTTCTGTTGAAATGAGATGAGTAGAATGCAGCATTCTTGGATAGGGTTAATTAAAATATATAGTCAATCTCTCTTGTCCCCAAAACCATGTTATCAATGGTTTATATTTTAACATTATGCCTTTTGCTTTAAAAAGTTTTTTTTTTTTTAGATGGGCCTAAGAAACTGCATGTATATGGAGCATATTTCTTCAGAAAGCTGCCATTAAGTACATGCATTCTCCATGGTACTATTCAGTGCCGTTTGTGTAAGCACCCACATAATTATTTACAAAGCCACTAATTGGATGTCCTAGGAATGGTGGAGACAGAAGAGAAAATTGAGGTGCATGATGGTAAGGATGATGAGGTGGTGCCTGGTCACAAGGAGAAGGGTGCCAGGGCGCTTGGCTGATTGAGATGCAATTCTGTACTCCCCTGTGCTTAAGAAGAAAGCTGCGTGTGCTACTGTAAGAGATCCGTTGTATAAACATTGTGACAAATAGAGTGATGATGTCTGTGCATATCCAAGGAAGAGCAGCCCAAGGTGGATGGCAATAGCAGGCTATTTAAGTGGAAGACATTAATATGAAGGGAAAATCTTGTATCTTGCTTCTGTAGAGGACAATTCAGAGAAAGTGTTCAAATACTAGAATAGGCAGTTGGAGTCCGTCTTCTTGTGGAGGATAGGGTTTTTTCATGATAACACCAGAGAGACATTGGATACTAGTGATGGCACTGTATGGATTCTTTTTTTTTAAACGGAGTCTCTGTTGCCCAGGCTGGAATGCAGTGACATGATCTCGGCTGACTGCAACTTCAGCCTCTTGGGTTCAAACAATTCTCCTGTCTCAGCCTCCTGAGTAGCTGGGATTACAGGTGCCTGCCACTACACCTGGCTAAATTTTGCGATTTTTGGTAGAGATGGGGTTTTACCATGTTGGCCAAGCTGGCCTTGAACTCCTGACTTCAAGTGATCTGCCCACCTCAACGGCCTCCCAAAGTGCTCGGATTACAGGCATGAGCCACTGCACCCGACCGATGTATTCTTAATGTGTCACACCCATAGAATTTGAGTTTGCCTACCTGCCTAGTCTCTAAACGCTGCAGTAATGGAAGCCTAGGCAGAGTCAGAATGGTTTTGAGTTCAATATTATTCTCATATTTTAATATCTTAATGCTCTCACATTTCTGCTTCATTATCTACAAAATCTGCCTACTCAATGCATATTTGACTCTTGTCTCTCTTAACACAGCCGTTGACATCTAAAACAAACCTAAGGAGCAGAAATTGGTGGCATGGGGTTCATCTTGAATTTAGC